TACACTGGCTCTTGGATCTCCAAGGAGATGCTAATTTAGCTTCTGTCTGAGGCCACCCAGCAGGAGCTATGGAGAGATCTGTAGGTTTCTCTTCTTTGTCTGGGGTTTGGAGATGCTCAGATGAGGCCCAGCTGTGAAGCAATGCAAGCTGCTATGAGGCCTTGGACCTTCTTTTGGATGTTCTGGGTCTCTCTGACTCAGCTTCAGTTTGTTAGATAATTTTAGATTTAAAAGGATCAGGCCGTTCATATGCAAAGCCTCTACACACAGCTTGGGTGGGGAGAGGTCTCAGAGCAAAGCAAATAGCAATGGCTTCCCATCAGCCCTGCCCTAAGAGGCCCCTGGGTCTCAGTGTCCCTCAGTAATCGCTGCAAGCACCTCTGAGAGAAAGCCACCCTGGAGTTCCGCCCAATGCCAGACAGTCCAGTTTCTCCCTGTATGAGTCTGAGTCCCCAGAGTCTCACTCGGAACTGAAGTTCAGCGTATTGTGGAGCTTGTGTCTCCCTTCTGCTTGAAAAAAACAGCCATGTACTCTGTTGCCAGCCCTCTTCGTATGCGGGCCTCCATACCTCTGCACTTTACTTCCACAGCTCCTCTGAGTCTCAGTGTGCTTTTCTCTTTCCTTCTAGTTGTAGAATTTCCACTCAGTCAGCTTTCCTGTGGTTTTGGATGATGTCCTTTTTGTCTTTTAGTTGTAGTTTTGAAGTGGTTGTGCGAGACAGCAAGTTCAGGTGTTTACTTATGCCGCCATCTTGGTTTCTCTTGCAAGATTATTTTCTTGGCTGGTGAGAGGTCAATGGGGAATATGGAGGGAAACAAACAAAATATTATTTTCTTTCTTGAAACTAGAAGGTATTATTTCAGTGAATGGCTAGACATAGTTAGAAAGTAAAGTGGTTGGTTAATCATGATGCCATCCTTCCTACATAAAGAGGATACTTTATCTCCATCATTATACTGATTCATATCTACTCTTTCCTGACCATGAATTTGCAAAATAGTTTGCTTATGATCATGAATTTTAGCACAACAAACATCCCAAATGTTCAGAGAATGGAGTGGTTAAGTAACTTGTCCACAAACACAATTAATGACAAAGCTGGAGCTTGAAACCAGGTCTTCTGGCTCCATAGTCCAGGAATTTGCCCACCATTGTGATGCTGAAATGTCTACTTGCTTGGGCTAATGATCAAAAGAGTCCATTCAGAAGAACCTATTAGGAGCTTGGTACTTGTAATAAATAAATAGAACCTAACAGGAAAGATGGCTTTCAAATACATCAAATAGTAGACCACCATCCTTTACACCACAACTGCTCACCTAGCTGTATAAGCATTGGTTTGGGTCCCTTACAGCTCTCAAGTTGTTCATCACCGACACCAACTCCTTATTGTGTAACAACTTCATGAGCTTATGTTTGGCTACTAACCTGTATTAGGTCAAAGTGTTAGAAGTTCTAACTACATATATCCAGGGTGTGTGTAATATTTGTGTGGCTGAAAAGAAGGGGCTACTGCTGTTCACCAGCTTATCCAATCTCATTGGCAAAAACTACTGTGCGTGTGCGGGTGGGAGGAGAACAGCATAAAGGGGAACACTGGTACCCTGGCCAGTCAGATAAGATCTTAAGATGTGGGGATCAGAATGGCCTTTTAGGGTTGCCTGCCTTGACTCTGTGATTCTAAAGGGAACCAATTAGTGGCCATTGTCTCTGTGTCAGATGGTCAGAGTTTGAGAAGAAGGGACTTCCTTTCGTTTTTACATTTTAAAAATATGTTTTTATTTATTTCAGAGAGGAAGGGAGAGAGAGATAGAAACACCAATAATGAGAGAAAATCATGGATCAGCTGCCTCCTGTATGCATTCTACTGGAGATCGAGCCTGCAAGCGGGGCATGTGTCCAACTGGGAATCAAACCATGACCTCATGGTTCATAGGTTGATGCTCAACCACTGAGCCACATCAGCCAGGCTGGTTTTTTCTTTTCATTTTATGTATTTGATAGTAAGACATGACTCTATAAGGCAATCTGATATAAGACAGGGTTCTTCTTCCTAGTTCATCAACCAAAGGCTTATTTCCTCTTCTGTTACCCTTATCAGTCGTTTTTTCAGCAGGACTGTTGAACTCTATTGTCTGTCACATTGTAGATATTCAATAAATGGGTAAATGATTAATTAATGCCATGGAAATGGCCAAGTGGGATAGGGAATAAGGACGAGGCAATGAGAATGAATGGTGTTTCCTTTGGTATTTCAAACTCCATCTTCGGATTGTTCCAATTTGCTGTGGTCCACTCCTCCAGTCAAGCATTTTCATTTCCTCAATCTCCCCTTCCCCTTTTAAGGTCCTTCCCCCAACTGGACTGACCAGAGGAGAGAGGAGTAAGAAACAAGGAAGTGTGGCTCAGCTGGTGTGGCCCAATGGTTGAGCATTGTCCCAAGCACCAAAAGGTCACTGGTTTGATTCCTGGTCAGGGCACATGCCCACGTTGTGGGCTCCATCCGCAGTAGGGTGTGTGCAGAAGGCAGCCTGTTGATGTCTCTCTCATCAGTGTTTCTATCTATTTCTCCCTTTCCCTTCTTCTCTCTCAAAAATAAATAAAAACATTTAAACAGAAGAAAAAAGGAAGTGTGCAGGGAGTGAAACTGAGGTAAATGGCACATTGATGGTTGCCAGATTTAGTTGCCTGCATCTTTAAAAGGTTGACTCATATGATTGTTTCAGGTGGTGCAGTTAAAGTACATTAACTAGCCGAAACTGGTTTTGCTCAGTGGATAGAGCGTCGGCCTGTGGACCAAAAGGTCCCAGGTTCAATTCTGGTCAGGGGCATGTACATTGGTTGCAGCCACATCCCCGGTGGGGGTTGTGCAGGAGGCTGCTGGTCAATGTATCTCTCTCATCGATGTTTCTAGCTCTCTATCTCTCTCCCTTCCTCTCTGTGAAAAATCAATAAAATATATTTTTTAAAAATATCGATAATAAAAAATAAAGTACATTAACAAAATGAAGTAAGTATTTTCCTACAGATTGAAGGAGATGTGTTTTGTTTTTGTTTGTTTGTCTTTATCAATGTTTACTTGGGAGCAGGGAGCCATCCAAGAAGCCCTTAAATAACTGCATCTGAACACCCACTCATCTTATTTAAGGCCTTGATTTTCTGACAAACTGGAGGAGCAGGAAAGGCACCTCTCCATTGTAAGTTTGAAAGCCAAAGCACTAGGGATGTTCTACAATGTATTATTTTATCCTAGCTCTGTTGACTTTTTTTTAATTTAAACCCACCCTTACTATCTCTCTCCTTCTCTCCCTCCCCACTCTGGCAGAAATCTTTCCCCCCTGATTTTCAAGACCTTTGTTATTTATCCTATTCAGCAAGATGGAGTGAAATTTATTTGTTCTTGATCAAGAAACATGTGTCATATAAAAATCTCCTTATAACAATTTCTGCTGAGTAGGCCCACATGCCTGGGGGTGTGCTCCTTCCAAAAAAGAGGTACTGTAACAGAATGGCTTTCTATTTTGCATTTGGAAAAACCCACCCAAAACCATTTTTTAATGCATTGTAAAACTGAAGGAAAACACAAAACATAATCTAGCAAACACCCACATCCAGAATTGACATCATGGTAATATAAAAGATACCTCAAATTTTTTTTTTAATAATAGGAAATAAAGTGTTATAGATCAAGCTACAGTCCTCTTCATTCTCTTTCCCAGTCCATCCCCTCTTCCATCTTCCCAAAGATCTCTTTTATAGTTTTTATATGTATCTATATCTACCCATGAATAATATATGTTTTTCTTAATTAAATAGGTCATTGTTGCCCTAGATGGTTTGGCTCAATGGATAGAACATCAGTGCTCGCTTCAGCAGCACATATACTAAAATTGGATAGAGCATCAGTCTACAGACTGAAGGGTCCCAGGTGCAATTCCAGTCAAGAGCACATGCCTGGTTTGTGGGCTTTATCCCCAGTAGGAGGTGTGCAGGAGGCAGCTGGTCAATGATTCTCTCATCATTGATGCTTCTATCTCTTCCTCTCCCTTCTCTGAAATCAATAAAAATATATTTAAGAAAAAATAAATAAAATAAAATAAATAGATCATTGTCATAGACTATAAGTCATTCAGCAACTTGCTTTTTTCATGCAACTTTATGATGTGTTTATGTTATTACATAGACCTAAGCTCATTCATTTAAACTATGGTGTCCATTGTATGGTGGTTTGACTTTTTCACACTTACTAACAATGATGTGTGTTCATATGTACATGTTCAAGAATTTCTCTAGGATATGCACCTAGAAATGGAATTGCTGGGGTGAAAAGTAGGCAGCTTTTTTTTTTTTTTCTAAATACTACAAAGTGGCCGTACCAATTTCCACTTTCACAAGCAGTGGGTGAGAGGTCCTGTTTCCACTCATCCTCACCATCACTTAATATTATAAGATTTTTTAATCTTTACCAATCTTCTAGGTGAGGGATGGTATTATTGTTTTATTTCCCTGACACTGGGGGGGGGGGGGGTACTTCCCTTATAATTAGGCCAATACGTTTTTTAAACTCAATTGCTAGGGATGTTCAAAGTCTTCATTTTAAACAATTTCATTTTTTTTAAGTTTCAAAAGAAGCAAAGTAATACATTAGTTTGATATTTACCAAGTACTTCTGCAAACTTACACCCCACAGGCAAGCCAGAGTTGACAGTTATGTGTTTAAAGTGAAATGGGAAGGGCTTAGGTTAGCTATAAATAAGAGAGTTGGAAAATAAATAAGAGAGTTGGGCATCTTTTCCCTATAGCTAACTAGAATTAAATAAATATAGATTTGAATGTGTTAGTTATTAATCCTAATTCATTAGTATGGTAAAGCATTTAGCTAAATGAATTAGCACTTTGTAAAGCATTTCCAAATGCTGGAAGATGTGAGAGTAATGTAGAGCACTCTAGCACATTCTAGAGCTGATTCCCTTGGCCTTCATCCTCTGTTTCCTTCCAGGTTTGTCGTACTCTTCATGGATGACCTGGGCCATATTTCCCAGTGGAGTGCCATCATGGCTGGAAGTCTCGCAGGCATGGTTTCCACCATTGTAACGTATCCTACAGACCTCATCAAAACACGCTTAATTGTGCAGAATATGCTGGAACCATCTTATAAAGGGATCCTCCATGCTTTTTCTACTGTTTATCAACAGGAAGGATTCCTGGCCCTTTATCGAGGAGTTTCCCTTACAGTTTTAGGTAAGATGGAAATGTTCTCCTTGTCCAAGGAAAGGCTGCATTCTTTGACATATATGAATAATTGTATGCCTTTGTAACCAGTTAGGTCCATTTTATTGAGGACAAGGTCATATGAACTTAATCCATATATGGTCACCTAACTTCATTCTATTCCTGTATACCCCATTCCTAACTTTGACCTTTTGCACCCCAGAGGGGTGGACGGCAGTGCATGGAGGTGCCTCTGCACAAACTGATAGGAAGACAATCCCACACATTCCTCATCCAACTATGGGAAGGAGTCTCAGTGTGCATACAAGCAAATATGAGCACAACCATGGTAGCAGTTGTAGCTTCTGTGGTCTTTGGAGCTTGTGCCAGGAATACACACACACAGGTCACCGGGACCCCCATTGGCCAAAACAGCAGACTTTTGCTCTTTGTCTGATCTTTTTTGCAACATTTGGTAAGATTGATTACCCCTTCTTCTGGAAACTTGGCTTCTAGGACCCACTGTCTCATAGATGTCTTTCTTATGTCTCTGGCAGCTTTCTTGTCTGACTCAATGACTCATCTGACACTGCTATCCCCCCTACATTACGCTATTCCCCCAGCTCCTTCCTTAACTTTTCCTTTACCCTCCATACTCCCTTAGGTGGCCTCATGTAGGCTAGTGGCTTGAACAAGTATCATTATACTCCAATGACCCCTAACATAATCTCCATAGTAACATTTATTGGTGCTTACTATGTGCCAGGCAGTGTGTTAAATGCTTTGCATACAGATTCTCGTTTAAGCCTCATTTTACAACAGATGAGGAAATAGATTCTTAGGGAAGCTAAGTTACCTGCCATGGTCACATGGATAGAAAGTGAAGGAACTTAGCAATATAATCCAGAGCCTTCTCTCTTAACCACTGTCTGCTACCAATTCCCAGTGGCAGAATGAATACCTGCTATTGGACACCTCACCTGATGCTCCCTTAGTCTCACACCTGCTCTCCTTCTGTGTTCCCTAATGAATAAGACCTTTCTTTCACCCAGTGGCCTGAGACAGAAGAAACCTAGATTCATTTCAACTCTACTACTCACTCCACTCTTACCTTAGTCACCAAGTATTTTCAAAATGACCTCTTTGAACTCTCAAGTCTATCCCCCTTCTCCATCTCCATCTCCTCTGTCCTAGGTCGCACGCTCATCACCATCTTTCTCTTAGACACAAGAAGCACCTCTTACCTGCTTCCAGTCTTGGTTCTCTCCCATCCCAGTTTGCCCTGTGCACTGCAGCCAGGGTGTGGTGATCTCTCTAAATGCAAAATGATCATTTCACCACCCTCCCTCCACTGCCCTCCTCAAAAGTCTTCACTGCCTCCTGAACTACAGTGGAAAACCCCAATTCTTGATAGCCTACCAGATCCTTCAGAACAGCTCGTCTAACCTCTCCTGTCATACCTCCACTTGCACTGATGTTCCAGCCATACAGAAATACTTGCATTTCCTGGGAACATTTCTCCCTTTGTACATGCTGTTCCCTCTGCCTAGACTGCCTGTCTATGTCTGATGAACCCCTATTAGTTCCTCAAAACCCAGTTGAGAAGTTCTCTCTTCTGTGAAGTCCTTCTTGATTCCCCCAGGCAAAATTAACTCCTCTCCTGGTGTGCTTAAAGCGCTTTGTACAGCCCTCCCCACTCCAGCCCCGCCCTTTTGGCACCTATGAGCTGTCTCACCACTAGATGGTGAGCTTCTCCAGGGATTAGCCTACTTACTCTTTGTATTCCTGCACCTGGCCTAGGTCCCCGTACACAAGTTTCACACGTGTTTTCCAAACGAAGGTAAATAAATGGGGCGTGGGTACATCTTTTTGAAAAAAAAAATTTAATCCTCATTTTTATATGTTTATTGCATTTTGGAGAGGGAAGGAAGGAAGAAGGGAGAGAGATGAGATGAGAGAGAAACATCGATCGGTTGCCTCCAGTTCATGCCCTGACTGGGGATTGAACCCACAACCTAGGTATGTGCCCTAATGAGAATCAAACCAGTGATCTTTGGTGTATGGATGATGCTCCCAGCCAAGGCTGATACATCATTTTAAATGTGTTTATTACATAGAAGTATTATATTATTTTAAGGACAATCAACCCCACTGTGTTATTCTCTCTTTTAAATCCCTTTTTGAGGAAGAAATTTAGTGACTCTGTAAAATTAAGATAGTTCCCAAAGTTTCTGGAAGTTTGTGAAAGTGCCATCTACTGTACTCTTTGCTCACCATATTTTCCTAGGAAGGTGAGGATGCCATACAGTGCAGGGTGCCACTGAACCCTGACATGGCCACATCATTTCCAAAGGCAAGGTCAAGTAACCGCCCTCTTTCCAGTTTTCACAGAATGTTTCCTTCTCAGCTGGAGACCACTCCCTCCTACCTTCCAAAAGTTGACTAAGGATAATCACTAACTTTTTCTGATGAAAGTGATTTTCTTCAAACATTTTATTTTTTACAATTTCAAACACCCAGAAATGTTAAAAGAATTAGAAATACACATATACCCACCATCTAGATGCTATAACTAACGTTGTACTTTATTACATATTGGTCCATCTATCCATCCTTCTAGCCATTCATCAGTTCATCTTATATATTTTTGATGATTTGCATGTAAGTTGCAAACATAAGATGCACTTCACCCCTCAACCCTTTGATATGTGTATCATAAACTAGATTAGACTTCAATACTTGTCATTTTTTTTAAATTTGTTTTTATTGATTTTTAGAGAGAGAAAGGGAGAGGGATAGAGACATCCATTGGCTGCTCCCTACATTCCCTCCACTGGGGATCAAGCCCACAACCCAAGCACGTATCCTGGTTTCATAGGTTGATGCTCAACCACTGAGCACCACCAGCTGGGCTGTTTATTACTTTTTAAAGTAAAATTTACATACAGTAAAGTGTGCAAACCTTTTGTGAACCATGTGATGCATTTTGACAAATGACACAATCCCTATCAAAATAGAGCACATTATCATCACCCAAGAAAGCTTCTTCCTGCTGTTTCTGTTGGGTTGGTCTTAAGAATCCCAGGGAGGGTCCTGTTTACTTGCCCCTGATTCCCCACAGGGATTTGTGTTCCCAAACTGGTGTTTGCCTAGACCTCAGTCGCCTCTTTCTGGCCTTGTCTTGCAGGTGCTCTCCCTTTCTCTGCTGGCTCTCTTCTAGTTTACATGAATTTGGAAAAAATCTGGAATGGACCCCGAGATCACTTCTCTCTCCTCCAGAACTTTGCCAACATCTGCCTAGCTGCTGCGGTGACCCAGACGCTCTCCTTTCCATGTGATACAGTGAAGAGAAAGATGCAGGTGAGGAGTGATGGTGGAGCAGGGCAGTGGGGAGATTCCTAGAAGTGTTGTTGGGTTGGTAACAATAGCAGAGAACACTGACCCTGAGCAATGCCAGGTTTCCAAGGGGATCATGACTATTCACACAAATACTACGCAAACCCCCACTCCGGGCATTTCTGCTGCTAACATCAGGGCTGTTGGCTCCAGCCCAAGCTGCTATTTCATTCACATACTCTGCTTTTTTAGGACTTTTTAACCCTTCCAGATGAGGCCCACTTTTCTTTCCTCTCTTTCCCATAGTTGCCACCAAAGCATAGTTGACATCAAAGCAGCCTCCTAGCTCCCTCTCCCAGGGCCTCCACAGTGAGAGGAGGGCACTCTTACTTGCATAGCCACCCCTTACCTCAGTGAAACAAACCGGAAAGAACCAAAATAGGCCAGGAGCTATTCGAGAACCAAGCTCCAATAGTCCTTTACTCCTTTGCTAGGGACGTAACTACATTTGAAATGGGCCAGTGTCTTAGTGGGAGTTGCCCTGCGTTTTCCTAACTGTTGCCTGGGAAACACATTTTCTCTATTGACTACAGAGGCAAAAGCATGGTGGTATCCAGAGTCTCACAGTGAGTAACTGGCTTAGCCTAGAATCAGTCAATTTTTACTAAAAAAAAAAAAAAAAAAAAAAAAAAAAAAAAAAAAAAATCAGCTGGCCAAGTAAAGTTTGGGGTTACAAGCAAGTCTAAGGATGGGCTCAGAATCAACAACTCTGAGGTTTTGTATCTGCCTTTAATTAAACTCCAGTTCACAGGCTTTCCTGCTTTCTGACCTCTTCTGGGCAAATCTTTTTTTTTTTTTTAGTCCTCAATTCCCATAGAGAATAAGGTTCCAGGAGGTAGGAAGGTTACTCTTCATCCCTGATTTCTTTTTGTTTCTTTGTTGTTGTTGTTAATCCTCACCTAAGGATATTTTTCTATTGAGTTTTTGTTTGGTTGGTTGGGTTTTGTTTTTGTTTTTGTTTTTGTTTTTAGGGAGAGTGAAAGAGAGAGGGAAGGACAGAGAGAAACATTGATGTGAGAGAAACACATTGATTAGTCAAGGGCACGTATCTTGGTTGCAGGCACCTACCCAGCCCAGGCCCTGGTCAGGGCTCATGCAGGAGGCAACCAATCAATGTGTTTCTCTCCCATCGATATTTCTCTGTCTTTTCCCCTCTCTCTCACTTTCTCTAAAAATCAATGGAAAAATATCTTCAAGTGAGCATTAAAAGAAGAAAAAAACACAAAGATATAGAAAAGAAATTCTTAGGGTTGTGGTCAACGTGTTATTTAATAGGGGTTAATAAACATAATAATACCTTGTCTACTCTACTTTAGAAAAAACTAATCCCCAAAATAGAACCAGAAAGTGGTTCTCAACCTTTCTAATGCCACTCGACCCTTTACTACAGTTCCTCATGTTGTGGTGACCCCTAACCATAAAGTTATTTTCTTTGCTACTTCATACCTGTAATTTTGCTACTGTTAATAAATAGTAATGTAAATATCTGTTTTCCGATGGTCTTAGGCGACCCTGTTAGCGGTTCTCAAAATGTAGAGCCTAAGACCATCAGAAAACACAGATATTTACATTACTATTCATTAACAGTAGCAAAATTACAGTTATGAAGTAGCAACGAAAATAACTTTATGGTTAGGGGTCACCACAACATGAGGAACTGTAGTAAAGGGTCGATGGCATTAGAAAGGTTGAGAACCACTGAACCAGAGGCTTTTTTAAATATAAACATGCATTGCTTTCTCTGGCCAATAGATGTCGCTGCAGTAAATGCAGGGTATTTGAGCACTATCTGAGGGTATTAGAGCCATGGATCTAGTGATCTCTGTCCACTAACAACCTCTTAATCCCTGCTCGAAATACACCTTCAGTTTTGAAGATAAGACTCTAGAAACAACAGTCAAACTCTACATTCTGCTGGAGTTGTTTTTTCCTGCAAAGCATACAATCCAAATTCTCCAAGAAAAGAGAACTTTAATGGTTTCCTAGGGGAGTAGACAAGGTTTGCCAGCAGAATTTCTAAGGAAGGGGCTTTGCAGGGCAGCCAGGCTGCTCTTACCTGAGCATGTTTAGTGAGAACATTTGCATTCCATCGGCTTTCCTTGCTGCACTGCCTGGAGGAAGCAAATCCTTGTCAGGTGTCTGTTACATAACCTGTTGGCCAGGGAATTTGGTCAACCCCGACACTGACTGTCCCCTTTGTCTGAATGGCTCCTCCTAATTAGTTTTACACACCTGCCTGTTTAATGCCGCATCAAATTGGAATTCTCTTGAACATTAATGACAATAATGAGAAGTCTTGTTTAATCAGCTGAGCTCTTCCTTCACTGTGCTTACACTTATTTTATTCCTTTTTCTTTCTCTTGCCCTGGCTCCTGGCTGACATGCTAGAGAATGGAGAGGTAAATAAATTGTGCATGTGCATGTTTTGATGGCATGGTTTCTGGTCGGAAGGGGGGTGGGTCAGCCCTCTGTGCCCCCCACCTGGTGCGCTTTCACGTACCCTAAAAGCACCCTGCCTGAAATCTCCATGGCCACACTTCAGTGCGTTTTACTTCCAGCTCTTCCAGGTATGGACTGGCCTTTTCATCTTTAAACTCCCATACCTGGCTCAGAGCCTGGGCCTGAAGAGGTCGGCAACACTTAGTGTATTGAGAGAGTAAAGGGTAAAATATTGATGGGAATTAATTTATCTGGCTAATCTGTAGACTCCTAATAAGGACCTGGAATTCCTGAGCAAATGGTTTTCTGGACAGGCACATGCGGAGGAGAGAGAGACAGACTGCCCCGAAAATCTAGGGAGCAGCTAAGAACATGGGACCTCCTTGAGAGGATCAGGAGGGAGGCACCAGGCACGAACTTGGTCCCCCTACAACTGTGCCTGCAACCCGCCCCCCCTCCGTTGCCTGTATTAGGTGACTCCGTTTCATCAAATATAAAACTGAATGTCAGCCTGTTGCTTTACACCCAAGGGGACTTTGACCCCATCAAGCTCACAAGGTAAGCAGGATTGGGCCAGGTCAGCATTTGAACTGAAAGCACATACGATGAAGGACAAAGGTAGTCTCTGAGTGGCACAGCTGACCGAGCAGAATACACACAATACCTGAGTGAAGGTAGGCCCTGGGCTGTTCAAACAGAGATGCTGAGCCTGCCCCAGATGCTTAATGCCTCGGGCTGTCTTTGGTCAACTGAACACTATTGCTCTGCCCAGGCCCTCCCAGAGCGCCCCTTCCTCACATGTGGTTTCTCGTGCTCAAATCCACATCTTCATCCCTGCTCCCACATTGCTGGGCATCACTATTTGGCTACCACCTCTCCACTGGCACCTCTAACTGAATTTATATCAAACTAACTTCCCTTCCTCTGAAAATGTCTTCCCAGAGTTTTCCATTTCAATGCAATCATTCCCCATTACCTAGGCTGGAAATCCACAAGTTATCTTTGAGCTGCTTCTTCCCCAACCCCCAATCAACCTGGAGGTCAGTTGGTTCTTCATTCCCAACACTCCCAATGCTCCCACACTGGTCTTTTGTCACTGTTCCTGTCCTAATCTGGGGACTTATCAGTTCATACCAGGCTATTGCAGTAATCCTGTAATTGGCCTCCAGGGTTGATTCTAAAAAAGATCCCGGAGCAATAATGTACCAGGCACTGTGATAAGATCTTTATGCTCAGTTTCTTATTTAATCATTACAACAACCCTATAAGGTGTGTACTGTTCCTCTCAAGCCCATTTTACAGATGATAAAACCAAGGCAGTGGGAGCTTCTGTAGCCTGCCGGAGTTCACCTACCCAGTCACTGAGCTGAAATTTAAGACCAGATAGTGTGCTTCCAGGGCCAATACTAATTTCAGTCCCTGCAAGCCAGTCCATAGCTTCTTCCAGACTAATTTTCTTAAGATCTGCCTGTGTTTTGTCCTTCTTTTTTGCCCCTAGAGAACAAAGACTGAGTTCCTGGGCCTGGCATGCTGCCCTTACCAATTGTGCCACCCTCATGGCACAGAGGCCCTCCTTATGAGGAGTTGCAAAATCAAACGTTAATAAGAACTTGGAAGTAACATGAAAAAAGAGAAAATAAGGAAACCTAAATAGCATACACTTGCCCCCTAAAGAATAAGCTATCAAGTGTGTTCTGAGCCAACAGGCTTTTGGCTTGCAAAAGCATTCCGGAGAACTAAGAGAGCTCTAGACACTGTGCTCACAAAATGTGATTAGCATCTAAATGTGAACAGCAGGAAGGAATGAAGTGAGCCAGCGGTGGCGGTGGCAAGCTCTCCTTCTCCAAAGCACGAATGCCATTTAGAAAAGTGCCTGAAATCCATATTTTTATGTAAAATCTCCCAATTGCCTAATGTTGGCAAATAAAATTGGGAAAATTCTGCCTGGGTTAAATAAAACACCCCTTTCAATAACCTCTGCTCTATTCAGACCTCCAATTCAATCAAAATTATCTCAGTCCACCTTCCCCAACCCCCTAAAGAATAAGTGTATTTCCCATTTCAGGCACCTCTGGCTCCATCTCCTTAAAGGCTCAACTAAGGTTTGCCTCAGTGGTTGCTGTCTCTTCTGACTTAAAATAGCACACATGTGTTGCTTTTGTTTGACAGATGAGTTGGCTTTTCATCCCCAGTCAGCTACCCCGTCCTGATGGATAAAGGCGGGGGTTTTGCCTTTGCAGAGTCGCAATGGGGGTGTGCCAGACCACTGCAGAGGGCATTGTGAAGCAGGAAAAGCCAGTTAACTAACAATGTGCTCTAGCAATAAAATTGAAGACGCTGCGTTTTCACTGTCATTTCACACCCCACCCCCAAGGGCACGGTTATTTTGTGGGAGTTTTGTGGGTGAATAACCCCTTTTAAATGATGCTACTAGCCTTGTGTGCCCTTTGACCCAGCCAACTGAATTTTCAAAGCACTTTGTACATGCCTCCACTGCTCCCATTTCTACATCATTACTCTGTTTC